AACGGTAGAAGACTGAAAATTAGAAAAGTCATATAGAAATATTAAATTATATTTTTAATAATTTACTAAGGGTAAAATTTAAAAAAATAGTAATTAATAACTCTTTACATGACTTATATTAATAATTATTTTTTTTTAAAAGCATCATACTCCTTTGGTATTATTTATAGGTGTGAGAAAAAGTATTTATTTTAATCTTATTTACAGGATACATAGATAATTATTGTATTCATCTTTATTTTTTTATCTTTATTAAATGTTAGAGTATTTAATTTTAATATATATATATATATATATATAGAATAAAAATTAAAAGCTTGTTGAATTTTTAGATAGAATCAATAATGTTTAAGATTTTTTTTAATTTTAATAAAAATATTAGAAAAAATTATAAATAAGATTGAGGAGGGTATACTAAAAATATTCTAGGTGAGAATATATTTAAAATCAGGATAGTATTTTAAATTTAGCGCAAACATCTAATTACTCCTTCTGTTAAAAAATGTAAGGCATTTTTTAAAGAGTTGGATGTTCAAAAATATAAACATTTTTAGTCTTTTGAGGTGTAATCATTATTTTTTTTTTCAAAAATACTCCTATTGATAATAACTTTATATTTATTATAAGATATTTAATAGAATTAAATATGAAAAGATAGGATCAGTTTGAAAGTAGGTAACTACTTTATTGAGAGGTGAGATTTGATTAAAAATATCTTATATTTTTTAACAAAGGGAGTAAAAGAGAGAGAAACAACCGACATCATAGGAAGGAAATGAAGCTCTTTGTCCCTAACTTTATGAGCACCATTATGATGTCTTTGGGGCCTTAATAATGCATTCCAACTTGCCTTCATAATCTTCCCCTCATCAAATTGCTCTTTGTCTATTAACTATAATCAACTACTCTTTTTCTAGTGAGAGCCTATAGCTGAATTGACATTATCCTTATCTCTTAATATAAGGAGTTATTGGATCAAACTCCTAATTAGTCAACAGGCGACTATTGTGAAATGAGATGAAAAGGTATCGTTACCTCTATTTTTAATTATAAAATATTTTTAGGAAAAATTTGATAGTCACAAAATATAAGATACTTTAATAAAAATAAATCTTCATTAATGATATTTTTTTAATATCACCCTTCCATTATATTCTCTTTTTTAATATTCTTTCATAAATTGATTATTAAATGAAGGGTATTTTTTAAAAGTTTATATTCTTTTTTTAAATAAAGTTGTACAGTATATTTAATAAACTTTATTAATATATATGATTTTATTTAAAATTATTTTATAATTTGAGATAAAAAGAGTATGAGTAAACTTTTATTTATTTATTTATTTTACTTACCATTAATACACCACCATCATAATGAGACAACCAAATAAAAAGCATCAATAACTGAGATTAGCAGCGGCTACCAAAGTCATCAATCCTAAGGTTCCGTTTGATTACTAAAAATGAATATAATAAAATGAATTAAAAAAAATAAATTAAAGCATCATTTATCATTATGGCAAGCATGATAAATTTATTATTATATACTACAAATATAAAAATTATTACATTCTCTAAAAATTTTATGAATTATGATTTTCAATTTCATAAAATATTTTATGAATGACAAAAATTATGATTAAAAAGATAGGAACTAGTTTCTTGACTTTTTGTCAAATATTGAATTATAATTTTTTGAACAGAACTATATAATTATTTCACACAGCTGGTGCGTGATATATTTAATTAAACAATTCGAATGTTAATATTTATAGTTCTACATTGTCTTGTCTTTTAATTCTATTATAAGATATCTTTATTTATTTCACTGAAATAAAAAATAATTAACTTATTAATTTTATTTGAAACTAAAATAAACTTGAAAAAATTATAAAGAAGTTTCATAGAAGAAAATTTATTATCAAAAAAGTCCACAAGTTGTGGACCTTCTTGACATAAAACTAATAATAATAAATATAATTAATATCTTATCAAATATTTTATATTAAAAATTATTTTTTTTTCTAAAATTCGAATTTGTTTTACGTATACCAAGTGTGAGTGGGAGTATATGAACCTCTATGTATGTTGGCACATTAATTATTCCCTCTTGCGTTTGTAAAACAACCAAACCATGTCGGCATGCCGTGTCCCAAACATTTAAGCGATACTGCAAACCGGCAATCACGAATTTTACAGTACCCTTGCTGGGGATAAAATATAAATGACTCGCAGTACCCTATCCGTTTTAAACTATAAAATATTTTTAAATAAAATATTATATTAATAAATTTTATAAAATATATTTAATTATTTTATCTTTTCAAGATAAAAATATGAACTTTTAAAAATATTTATAATTTAATATATTAAAAAAAGGATGAAAATTAATTGTAGAGAAAGAAAAAGTGATATTAAAATTTGTGCATTTGATGACATCTTAATCTATGCAAAGTATATTATATTTTAAAACAGATAAACTCCTTTCAAATTGTTCTATAATTTGAGATGGAAAGAGTATTAATTAATTTTATTAATATTATTTTTATTTAAATTCTGTAAATTTCTTAAAAATTTTATTTTAATATGAACAAAGTAAAAATTTCTTTTATTTTTAGACAAAATAATAACTTAATTGCTTTCCTTTAATTTTGATAAAATAGTTGAAGATGTTTTATTATATAAATACTACAAAAGAGTTTATGCGTACACTTGTCTTCATGAGAGTTTCATCATTTTATTTCCTTCAAGAAAATCCTTTTTCTCCAAATCATCTCTTTCTATTTTGCTCTCAAACAAAATGGCTGGATGTAATCCAATAATTAAAATTCTGGAAAATAAATATTCCTCTTGTGCAATCTTACAAGACATTTTTAATTGAATTATACCTTAATTGAGTTAGTTGATAATTTTTAAAATTATACACTTTTTCATGTTTACCCATATTTAATGGGTGTTTTCAATCAAAAAATATATTTAATGAGTGTCTTGATTAGACAACCTTGATAATTACATCCTTAATTGATAAGGATATTTTTGGTAAAACTATATTAATTAATCTTGAAAGACTCAAAACATTTTACATTCTTAATATCATACTCTAAAAATGCTTTATAATATTTAATGGAGACTTAAGTCATGAAAACATAGAAAAAAAATTCTATGCTGACAAAAAATGTTCAATAAAAATGTAGTCAGTAGAGTTTTTATCTACTCTATCACTATATTACAAGTCCCTTTTATAAAAAATTTTCAATAACTTTAACACAAATTATGAACACTAACTAAAATTAGTTACACTCATTTAATATGTCCATATTTTCAATTATTTGTTTACAATTATCCCTTTTATATGAAGTTTATTAAATTAGTTCAGTTTTCTGTCTCTTTATATAATTAAAATTAATTTTTTTTAAAAAATATGTAAAATCTCTTATAAAAATGACTTTTTTTTTTGGGGAAAAAAAAAGGCTCTGATCATAAGGGCTGTAAAAAGTACATTTCCGTTTACTTTATTACCCTCATTAATTACCGCCTGCATCTTGGGGTAATTTTCCTCAAAAGTGAAACTAAGTGGGGGCTCGCTCGGCGCTTGCCACCTGCTCCCCTTGAATGTGTGACTGGATAGTGTCTGATTTTCTTTTAAAAAATTTATTTACTTTAAATAGAATAAATTCAATATTCCTCAAATATCATATTCAGAGAATTATTATTATCATTTGCAGCCAATAACATTTAAAATAACGCTCTCTTTTTTTAGGTGGGGAAGAAAGAGAGATTTGATGGAGAGGATGAACATTATCACCATATCCAACATCGACTGGTTGGAAATTTTTGATTCCATTCCGCGACCACACATGACTCTTCCAATCGAAAACGACACGCAATCTGAGTGTCGTCCACTTCCCTCCCTTTGCTTCTCACTATCCTCTTCCTCTTTCCTGGACCACCTTACCCAATTTCTCTCCACATTAAACCAAACTCAATTTTTTTTAAAAAAAAAACTAATATACCACACAACACTTGAATCAATCAGTAAAATATTATTTTAGCTTAACCAATAGTTTCAAGTGGTAAGGCCTATCCAAAAGAGTCAGTCAATGTTCAATTTAGATTAGAATATTCTCTACTAAATTTTCGGCAAACTCAAGACATTGATTGAGCGTGGGCAAGTAATATAAAAAAAAAAGTATTAATGTAGTTATTCAGGCATCTATATTGCGGGGAAGAATTTTCTTACAAGACACAATCATGTGATGCAGAAATGAATGATCACGTTCTCATGGACCAACACAATAATAAAAATACACGAGTTGTCGTTAACAGGAAAGGTATAACGCTGGATTTGATAGTGTTTCCTTGTTAAGCAAGAGAGCGTGAATGGGACAGATGCTTATTTAACAAAAACAGATCGGCCACAAAAGGTGTACGTAGATTATGATAATGATGCGCGAAGATGATTGCAAGCTTTTCTCCTTCACGTGGAAGCCAGAGAAACAGAGTTTGAAAAATTAATCACATCATCAATAATCATAGCAATAGGTAGTGTTCTTGGCCGCACAGGAGGGTTAACGACAGACCAAGCACGCGCCACTATTGGTTGGGTCCCTCACATTTCCAACTTGCTCATTTTTTTAAGGAAAATATTGTAGTAGGTCCCTATATTTTGATTACATCTTTGATTTAAATCACCATAATTTTATTATGTTTTTTTCAATTCTTTTAGCTTGATTTATTTGTTTAGTCTCTCTAGTTTTAAAATTGTACATGAAGACCAAAAACTGCATCAATGGAATTAATTTTGTTTATGCGTACATGTGTATTGAAGCTCATCTTCATTTCTCACATTCCATTTAAGCCTATAAAAGGAAGTTTTTTCCCCTTACTTTTTTTTTTAATTTTAAATCATATCTGGTGAATTTATTTTCATGTTAACTTTTTTTTACCATGCCAACAAAGAGTTATAGTGAAATTAACTTCATCAATGCAAGCCCCCTTTATGCATAATTTTAAAACTATAAAGACTAACAGTTTAATCCAATCAAATTACAAAAACTGAGAACAACAATATAGAGTTATAAAACTAAAAACAAAACGAAAGCAAAATACATCACATAGTCATTGTATTTTCCCTTTTATCTTACGAAATAAACTGTTCCAGGTCACTTTCATGGCAGCTCCTTCCGATGTGCATCTCTGCGACTTGTCTCTGTCTCGTCTCCTTCCATAGCAAGAAGACGGTAAAACATAACAGACCCTTAATTCCCTCCTACTTGATTTGTTGTTAATAATTGAATTATGAGGTTAATACAACTAATTAAACATCAAACAGACAATTCTTGGCCATAAGAATATATGCTAAAAGTGGAGTAAGTTGTGAGTAACTAGACTGCGCTTTTCAGCTTTCAAACTTATTCTGATAGCATTAGGGAGGTGTAAAAGAGAAAGAGAAGTATTAATAAAGTCAAAGTTATTGCATTGGTCATGCAATGACTGAGGAAAATGACTGAGCATAATAAAGCGTAATAAATTCCTGAAGAACCTGTCCTCAAACGCAGCACATTCATCAAGTTGCAGAACAGGATATGCTTGAGCAAAAGCTCACACAGAAAATTATGGAATGGGTCATTATCATCAAACATCACTCTGAAATCAAGTAAACAAATCATTGTGGGTATTGGTCCAAGAAGCACTATGCACTCTCAAATTCAATATTAGGGAAGAAAATGACAGGAGTGGCAATGTGGCCTGCAATAATGTATTCTTATTAGTATTTTTATATTTTTATATTATGTGTGCTTGTTAGGCCAGAACCTTCTCCACTTTCTTTTCTTGCTTTTTTTCTCCTTTCTTGGCACACCATTGAATAACTAAAGACACTTTGCTGTCTTCTTCTTCTTCTTCTTTTTTATTTTTTTTTCCCAAGAAAAAACCCTTCAAGACAACTACACAACAAAACAATGAAGGTTAGTGATTCATATGAATATTTTACAGCTAAATACATTTTAAAATAAACATCACTATTTATAACATGTGAGGCTTGGTGTGTTTTTGTTAACAAAACACAAGATGATATCAGATTTGTGTGCATTAAAAACTAGTTTGATATCAGCATCTTTGAAGGACCAAAATTTGAGTTTGGTTCCGTTTGTTTCAGAAGAGAACAATTAAGGAGGGGTCTGATTTGAATCCCTGCATCTAGACCCAATCTCTCTCCTCTTCATCTTTTTCTCTCACTAAATATATTTAATTTGGTATTCTGCATGGGACCCAAACCTCAAATTGAAAACGAATAGTCAAGTCACAGCCTAACATGCGTCAGAACAGATATTGCCCATGGATTAAATCCTCCTCCTATTCAACTATGCTGTATTCTTGACCCAAAACAATTCTGAAAGCTAATCACTAACAATATTGGATATCACAAAGAAGAATTTCCCAGAAGAAACATGATCAAATCAAACCAAATTCATAAAATTGTGCACACTCTTATTGAATTTCTAGAAGGTGCCGGGGGGGGGGGGTAACTGATTTTCACAATATCTATCCCATTGTTTGGATCCAGAAATCTGAGGGGAAAAAGCATGCTACGACTTACAACTGATATTCCGTATGTTGTACAAACAAAAAAGAAGCATGCACCATAACAGATTCGTAGCGCCGAGCATCCTGCAAGTAATAGAGCATTTAGGCCAGGGATGGAAGTATTGTTAGGCTAGAAATACAAGAGACCAATCTTGATCATTGTTTGGCGTAGAAGACTGGACAGTGTTGGAGCCAACAAACGAGCAACTCTCGGCAGTGTAGGGTAGGTTAGAGTACCAAGAACGAACCAATTGAAGCTTAATAGAGCTACTGCATCAGATGCAGGCTTGTTCTTGATGGTGGAAAAAAACTGAACCACGCTCTTCAAGGACATGCCAACCACTGTGAAGAGAGCTACCACCAGAGGCATGCATGGGTCATCAGCTTCCCACACAATCACTCCAACTAACAGGGACAAAAAAGCACTGAAAAGTGACTGGGAAAGTGCAGCATCCCGGCGATGATCGAGTACATCGCTCCTTTCTACTTCTTTTGACATTGTTTCCAGTCCAACTGGCAGAGCAGTTCCGGATTTTGATCCTGTTTTCAAGAGTTTGAGCAACTCCGTTGTATTCTTGCTCTCATGTTCCCAAATGTCCTTGTGCATAATTAGGCTTTGAAATGCGATTTCACTCCCATTATAATTGGAGTTCCCTGAAAGGATAGAATGAGAACTGCCAAAGTCGTTGCCACCAATGATTTGGCCATTGTCAGTGTCATTTTGATCTTTCCAGCTCCAGCGCGCCTTGCCCTGAATTTCCTTGAGCCTACGATTCTCATCATTCAGATCCTGCAACTGTAAATGAGAAGGGTGTAAGAACACTAAATGTGGAATGAATTGCAGCCTTTAGAAAGATCAACATAGGCTTTTGTCCCAAGAATGGACTAAGCAAGCTGAAAATAATAAAGCAGTGATAGTAAAGGAAGGTAAATCATGGGAATAAGTAGAGATCTAACATTCTAGCAAGGTTTCTAGCAAATTCGAAGCCATTAGATGTTACCAAACATCTTTTCTTACATATCTTCAAATGGAACTGACGCCAACTTCAGGCAATCTTACAGTAGAGAATATGGGGTGACATTTCCTGTCTCAAATCTTGTTATGCTAAATCTAAATTTGGAGTCTACGAACTTGGAAGAAAGGGAAATTTCATTCATGATTACCTCAGCAAGTAATAAATCACTGACCACCATATAAAGCTGAAAACTGAAACCTCTCAGAGGATGGTAAGATTAAAAACTAATGGCTTCTTTTGCATCTTCAATGATGTTCTGCAGCTGCTACTTTCCTTAGAACAAAAGTATTATAACGCCCTAAGATTTTCCAAAGATTAATGACCTAATATGTTTTAGAGTTTAGACACTAATAGAGACATCCTCACCCTTATAATGAGACTTAAAAGGAGGAAGAACTCCCAACCATATCATGTAAGTATCACAAAAATTACTTGCGGCCATTTGAGGGGGAAATTCATCATTTACAAATCACAATGCACATTAATGGGAAAGCAAGACATACATAGTTTCTTTAGTTGTAATTTCGGTAGGATTTCAATAAACAAAGCAAGGTAAATCTTTGTTATTCTGATGAAAAATCATCAACAGGTGGTCAGTCACAAGGTGATAAATTCAACAATTAGACGAGTTTATAGCAGCAAGTGAAAGAGCAAGAAATACAAAGGAATAAAATACTGTTACCTTGGCCTCTAACTGTTCAATTTTTGCAATAGCCATATCATGCTCCTCTTCAAGATCTGATAATACTGCCTCCATCCTTTTCCGTTCTTGACGTTCTCTAATGGCCATCTTGAGATGTTCTTGAAGAACCTTCTGATCCCCAACTATATTCTCCAACTCATTCTGTAGATCTTGTAGTTGTTGTTCTAGCTGCACAACAAACATAACCAGCCTCAGATTCAAACCAATACGATGTTCATCCCAAGAAAAAAAGATAAACTGTGATGCTTAGGGACGAGGAAGCATAGAAGTCAGAAGGACCCTATGAAAATGCAGGACAAACAGTTTTATCCAGTTATATGTTTTATTGCAACCTGGGATGAGCAGTAGCAACATCTCCTGTATATCTATAAATTGGAATCCTTAAGCTGACAGATTATTAAATTCTATTTGCATTATATAATAGTTTGTACAAATAAGATTATGGGCTTTACCTGCTTCTTCTTCTTTTTAGTTTCTTTTCTTACTTTCAACCATAAGTGCAAACAAAATGCCCTTTTAAAGGTTTCAAAGGGAGGTGCGAGGGAAACAACAGATCATGAATTGAAACATGTCCGTGTACACACCACAGGGTAAAAACTAACCTGCCTTTCTCTTCGTAAGGCACTCACAATTCTTGAAGGTATAGAGACAATACCAATTGCCCATGATATAATTCTCAATATTAAGTTCAAATGGAACCTAAAAGTGGCCTTCACCAACTCTGTCCAAGTGTAAATGAAAAGAAATGCAGTTCTGATAATAAACACGCATGGCAGCTTGAGTAAAGCAAAAGGCCCAGTCACCAAGAGTATTATATTAGACAATAACTCAGGAATCAATGCCATTAACGAATAAAGTGACTGATATTCCCCTCAATTGTTACATGTTCAGCATTTCCTTAATGTTAAACCAGTACTGTTGATCTCAGCATCCTGCAATATCAGTAAATCTACATGAAAAATAATATGGGACTAAAAGAAATACATAGAAAAATATCCATGAAAACCTAAAAGTAATAAAAGATTATGAATATTTACTCAAGAGACAAGACAGGGAGGAAAAAGGAGGAAACACATGGCACCTGGTACACTAGCTAGTAGCTAATTGCTTAGGAAGGGTTCACCAAAAAAATAAAATTACTTAAGAAGGGACACTGAAGCTTGAAGACCCACACATGCAAACTCACGAGTGACTAGTACGGTATCGTTGAGTGTGAAAGGAAAGAGTACAAACAAAACACAGAGAGGGGCATCATATGATAGAAATTAGAAGCCAATTGAGCAAAAGGAGAAGTACAGCCTTTACGAGAACATGAATTATCTGCGAACGACAACGATCAACATTTAATCACTGAAGTGAACAATGCCAAGGGAAGAAGTGAGTTAAGAAGCAAGAGCAAATTGAATCAAACCCACAAGCAACAGGTCCTCAATTTGAGACGACAAAAGAGAATCGACGATTGATCTTCATCGTTTGAATTTCGAGCTTACAATGTGAAACCCAGCACAGATAATTCAATCGAAGAAAAAGGCTAAATCAAAACTTACGATGAGGAAAAAATGCAAAGAGACAATGACGCAGAGCAGAGTTGATAAGCTGAGAGTGAAAGAGGGAAGAGGATAAGGAGATGGGGTTGGAAATGCAGATTGGGGCTGCGTAAATAAAACTTCAGACAAAGCATAGGTGGCAATGCGAACATCTTCGAGCTGCCACGCACGAAAAGTTCAGAACTTTTTTATTAATTACATTTTGAGACGATGTGAATTAAAACGAAAGGGAACGGAGTGGAGAATCGGAGATCAAGAAGGACGCCGGCATCCATTGTGTTCATGTGTGCCACGTGTCTCGTCCCGGGCATCACCTGTGTCCTTTGTTTCGATCGTCTCTGTGCTATACACCTATGATATCCTCATTATTATATTTGCTATATATTTGCTCCAAGGGCACTTATCTTATTTCCGCCAACAAAATGAGGTTTTTAAGGATTAGTCACTTTGAATGTTGCATATTTGAATTTGGTTGCAAGTTATATTAAGTTAATTTAATTTAATTTTCAATTTCAGCTGCTAATTAAGATTCGTACATTCATTGCCATCCTTAATTTCTTATCCCTTAGACCATAGTCATGTGATGCCAGAAAATGAGCCCAACAAACACCTCAGCCTCTTTTTCCGATCAGATGCGATAGTTACGAGAAGACGCGGGGAAAAAAAATCAAATGAAATGACATAAAATTCAAGATTGACAAAGTCTAACAGTGATCCGCATATGAAAAAAACTTATATTTTTGACATTATATGAAAATTTATATTTTATTTTTAATTAAATTAAGATATATGTATCTCATATAAATTATGTATTTTATAATAAATTTTTATTATTAATTTTATTAATATATTAAGATTCACTTGTCATGATTTGATTGGATATAAATATATTAAATATGTAAAATTAAGTATATAAGTCTTATCCATATTTTATTATAAAAAAGTATATTTTTATTATTAAAGAAATATACTCCTTCTATCTAGACATTTTTATCAACCTTATCAATATTAATATAAAAAAATATAAAAAATAAAAGTGTGTAGAATTTTAAATTTATTTTTATATAACAAATTTAAAAAGTAATATTGTTACTTGTGGTGACTTTGAAAATACCTTTGAAATACTATTTAAAAAGTTATACTATGACTTATAAATATAATCAAATGGATCTTTTAAAATGGGACTTATAAATAAAATCAGAATGAATATATTGTTTTAATTAAGTTTAGCACCTACTAAAAAAATTCTTCAAGCAACGAACTTTGCGCGCGTGCATCACTTATATGTTTTGCCTTGAATATTCCAGCGAGGGGATAAGAAATGAGAATCCTAATTATTATACAAGATGTTAAAGTTTTGCTTCACATTTAAAATATGAACCTCGTCCTCTCAGTTTTTTTTTTTAGAAAGGAATAAAAATTTATAGCCTACAATACAAGAAGAAAAGGAGCATAAATCCTCCAAAAGCAGAAAGTGAAGATCCAAAAACATCGCTAGAGTATGTTTGCGTACTTGGTTAGTTTCAATATTTTCTTCTCTACGAATATAGCCAAATATCAATAGTCCATTCTGGGTGAAGCAGATTTTGGCACACTTGAATCAATTCCCAATTCACATAAATAGCACTGTTTCTATCCTTAATCAGATTCAAAGCTTCTAAAAAATCACTTTTCAAACTCACATTCCTATGACTATCACAAACTCTCTGAGGGGACTAACAAGACATGCCCAAAATATTCTACCACAAGAGGATCTCCTTTAAAAATTTTAAGCATATATAAAAAATTTCTAGTAGAGATTGATGATTGTCCTTGATGATACTTTGCAACTCAAATCATTACTGAGATGGAAAAAATCACCATCAACATGAGAATGAAGAAGGGGACCATAAAATGAGAATGAGAATGAAAATTAAATTTCAAGTTCAATGTATTTAATGGGGGAAGGTAATGCCTTCATTATTTTTAAATTTTTAATTAATAGGAGACAATGCCACAAAAATACTTAAGCGATCTTGTGACATGATTTTAATTAAGTCTGGGGAAGGTCTGACTTCTGTTCTGGCCAGCCAGAGGATGGTCCAACATTTCAGAGAACCTTAGCATTTTTTTTTTTTACCTCAAATTTTTTAGTTTTTTTCCCACAGGGGACAGTCAAACGCACAGATACATTACAACGCACACATCCACAGGGCATGCACGCCACGTGCTTCAGGGTTCATGGAATAACCCATCAGTGCTTATCACAATATGTGCTCAACAGATTAATACTGTTCAACATTTATTTGGACGGATAATATTTATAGTTTTAAATTTTGTAATTTTTTAAATAATAAATTTATTTTTTGATAATATGTTAGTTAAAAATTTATTTTTATTATTAAAATCATAATAATAAATTACCCATGCTTAATTTGTTTAGTCCAAATTTGGTATGAGCACAACCACATGCTTATCTTTTTTGGAGTGGAATAAAAAGTTAGATGATTTCCAGGAACATCCCAAAAAGGGAAAGAATATAGCTAGATGATCTAATGGTATGCATATAAATGAATATAACACTCCAAATTAACTCAAAATTTTAAGATATTGAAATATATATATATATATATATATTACTTATATACTTCTTCTCTAACATAACTATAATCAATATGTAAGACTTTTTTCTTATACTAAATCAAAAATCAACTTACATTTTACATCCCAACAATTATAATATCTATTAATAAGGTTTTCATATCAACGGTGAAATTTGAATCTAATGACTTTATAAATTATAAGTTAAATCTTTAGACCAGTTAAACTACCAATCTTTGTTACCCATGATGATCATCTCGGCCAGCATGGAATATGCTCTCTAGTTACACACCACACCACAGGTTTAAATCCTTCTTTAGGTGGAAGTTCCACTTAAGGAAGGATTTGATCTTTTGAAGAGCCAGTTTGGTGCGCCATTATATAACATTTAGGCTATTAAGTGATATTCAAAAGCTATATTGAATCCCAAATAACAAAACTTTTACTGTAAAATGCAAATGCATACTCACATGAAGTAAAAACGTGTGTAAACATTGTTCTGTTCCCTTTTTAAACTCTTGGTGAAGATTTTACTGATTTGGTGATTCCTTAACAACTAAGCCAGAGGCAAACGCCTAGCTATGTACTTACCGCAGAAAAGCGTCAGTATAAAATAAAGTCGCCAAAAAGTAGTGAAGTTACATCATCATCTTCGCCACCAACCTCATTTGTTGTCTCGCATCTGGGCCGATAATTCATTGCCTTTCTCCAGAAAATGGAATCAACAATAATCATTCGAGGTCTGAGGAGCATTAGCTTCAAACAATCAACTAAATATATCCCTAAACTATACTACAATTTTCAACGCTCTCTTATTTTACCTCCACTTTAGCTCGATCAATATAATTAATGCGTTTCTTTGATGCCAAACATATTTGTATTGTTTGGTAAATGAGAAAAGAGTCATTTGGATTCGGTGGTACAGCGAGAGGGAATGTAACTTCCATTAAGAGGATGAAACTTGAGCATACACTCCAAATGGCACCAGAACTTGACAGACCCTAATCGCCCTATTCTCCACTGAGTCCTCGCATTTCCCTTCAGATCAAACCCTATCAGATTCCTCTGCCACGAGTTTGTCACGTCTGCCATCTGTTCCGGCGTCAGCGGTATCGACGACGACTGCACCACGTAGTTTAGGTACCGCGAACTGTTCTTCGCCACATTGATCGGATCCGACCGCAGCACCGCGATGCCCTGCCCTTGGTAGCTCAGCTTGAACTTTATGTCCGAGAACGACGCGTGGGCCTTACCGTTTCCGTTCTGGGCCCGGATCAAGACGGTGACCTGAGTCTGGAGAAGCCCGGCGAGATCGTTCCGGAGAAGGTCCAGGTGGGCGGAGCTGACGCTGAGGGTTGGAATTCGAGGGTGGATGAGTATGTAGCCGATGAAGGCAGCGATGCCGGCGACGATGACGGCGATGGCGAAGACGGTGCACAAGATGGCGGCGAGCCACACGAGCAGGTGGGTGCGGTCGTGGGAGCCTTGGTGGAGACGTTTCTTGGACATCGGATTTGGAGGCATTTAAGGTTTGTGTGAGATGAGAAGCGAATCGAGGAATTTGTTGTGAGGTGTGATATTTGTTTGTATGTTGTGAGGTGGTTGATGTGAGAGAAGATTAAAGGAAGTGTTGGGGAAGAACATGAAGGTTAGGTTCTTTGAATGGTGGGACAGGGAAGGTTTAGGTATCTTCCTTTCCTTGGTTTAAAGCAAAATTCATGTTTTGCCGATCATGTTTCTTTCAGAGGTCTAATTGTGTCCAACAATGAATATTTTTGTTATTCTATACTATCAACCTTTTTGTCCAATTATGAATCCAAATCTTCCTTGATGTGTACATTTTGCTTCTAAAAAAAGTTGACACAAGTTTTAATTACTTAGCTTCTTGCTTTCATGCATGTTAAGAAAGAATATTGAAACAAATATAATAGTATATATCCATGTACTTTGACTTGTCATTTTTTGTCCTTGTAATTTTATTAATTTTTTAATCCTGTTAGTTTGATCCGTTTATAAATTATTTTGTGAAGTTTTAAAAAATACATATAAGGATCAAGAGCTGACATCGATAGAGTTGATTTTTGCTAACGTATACTCGATTCTTTTAACTTCTTTGGTGACGTATACTTAATCTTTAATTCCCTTACCACATTCTGTTTAATTAAGCCAAAATAAAAAAGAAAGATTTTCCTCTCTACTTTTTATTTTTAATCATTTCTTGTCAATTTATTTACATGTGAGCAAAAAGATTGACATATATAATTACAGTAAACATAATTTTGTTGGTGCCAGTTCAAAGTCTTCGTGTATATTTTTAAAACTATAAGGTTGACATTGTAGATGGATTGAACAAAAGGATTTGAGAACAACAACAAAAAGAAGGACCAAAAGTAAAATGTAATCAAAATATAAAGACCTATGTACTGTTATAATTTTTTTAAACAATGTTTTATGATTGTTTATGTTTTTTAATTTCTATAATTTTTGCTATTAGTAGTATTTTTAAGTGTGATAGCTTGCTGAATCAACTAGACCTTGATGCTTTTAGGAAGCTCAAAGATGAAAGAAATACGTCTCTTCGAATGTTAAGGTCACTTCTCGATCAAGTTGTTTGAAAAAATCACAATTTTAATGTGTAACTTTCTAACTTTTGCTGATGATCGATGTTTCTTTCTGGATTTTAATACTAATGGCAATTCCGCTTCGACCAATATCATGAATCCAAATCTTTCTTAATGTACATTTTGTTGGAATATTTTTAAAATAAAAAAGATATGTGTTTTTTTTAAGTCATATCCTTATAATTTAAGAAATTTTTATGAAGGGTTACGTAAGGAGTTATAATAAATAAGGAAAAGTTTATATAGTTAAGATGTTTGTTTTTGAATGAATCAAGAAATGTATATATTTTATGAGAAATGCATAGGTAGGCTGGGTGCATCACATCATTTGTAATCTATTTAATAAAAACAAAACACTTAAATGATATTAAATATAAATTAATTATAATATTAATAACAGTAGAGAGAAAAAAAGCAATAAATCAAACGTGCATTTTGTTATAAATAAAAAATAAATTTAAAAAAATGTCACATAAAGTTTTATTTAGATTACTTAAAATATTTTAATTGAACAGACTATAAATAATATGGTGCATATTGTTTACCTAAATATTTCTTTATATTTTATATATTATCTATTCTATAATAACTCTTTTTATTAATATTATTAATATTAATACATTAAAATCACATCCTCAGTTTTGGGAGGGGAAGACGACACCAACTTAAATCAATCTAATTAATGTAACTTAAAATTGAGACAAATGAAAAGATCTTCAAGTTGAAAAAATACGAATCCACTGGCTGATTTTTATACCTGTGGTTCATTGTTAGATGAAGAACCACTTGGCAAAAGTTCGTTAGAAATTTAAAAAAAAAAAAAACGAATTCTTTGAATGTTAGCTCACACTTCTCGACTCAAGTTATATTCAAAAACAAAATTTTAAGGAATAAAGTGTATTGAGGACAGGTCTTACATTTAAGACTAAAGTAAATTATTCAACTAGCTCATACCGTTGGGATAGGAGGAAGTAAATTATTTTGTACATAAAATTATAATGATATGTATTTAGTAAAAAAAGTTGAGAACAGAGAACATTAAAGTTTAATTTAAGGTTTGAAAATATATTAAATGTATGTCCCGTGTGAAAGATAAAAGATTTATTTGTCGCAGTTTTGTTTATTGCCAAAAAAAAAAAAAACACACACACACACACAAACAAAGCCAAGTCGTTCCTTTATCACGAGTGCACGTGGTAAAGTTTGTCCTTATCTTGACCTCAAGATGCAGAATATTGAACGTCTGTGCACCCTCATACCGTATGTAATGTGCAGATAAAGAAAAGAATTCAAATGCAAGTACATGTAAGAATAATTTAATATTCTGTCGAATATTTTCTTTTTGGCACGATATATTATTTCGTGGAATGTTTTCATGAAATGGATGTGATCATAGATATGCATCCAGAATGCGTGCTTTTAATTTCTAAAGATGAGAATAAAAGTGGAGCTTGAAGGCTCAAATCAACAGGTCTTATTTAAATAAAAGTTTAAACTTAAAAAATGAAAAATTTTTAAAGTAATTGAATTTTTAGGCCTAATCCTGATAAGTCTTGAAAAAATAAGTTCGAGTCCAGGCAATCTTTCAAGCCTTATTATCTTTTTTTTTTTTGTAATCTATGTAAAACCAGTGCGTAGAGGAAAAATTTAAAGCTTAAACTTCTTTAATTTTTAATTAAAAAATTAGTCTTTTAATCCTTCAACTTTTAACTTACCTGTAATTCAGTCCTTCAACTATGACTCACTGCAATTCAGTCCCTCAACTATAATTCGCTGCGACTCAATCCCTCAACTTTTGATTCACTTATAACTCGGTCTTTATTTTTTAATTTTTTTAAAAAATTTCTAAGAGAGATAAAAAAATGCTCATATATTATTTTAAAATATCCTCTTCTTGCTCATTGATGTGAGATATAAGCTAACATGAAAAAAATTAATAAAAGTTAAGGAACTAATTTTTAAGTGATTCAAAAGTTGAGAGATTGAGTCATAGGTGAGTCATAGTTGAAGAACTGAGTCACAGTGAGTCATAGCTGAGGGATTGAGTTACAAGTGAATTAAAAGTTGAAGGACTAAAAGATTAATTTTTCCTTGTTGATTTATCGACTCTAACTCTCTTAACCTTCTTTGTTTGATCAAAACTCTCACTTTCTCAGCCACAAGATTGAATATTTCACAGTCACTCATATGCTCTTTTATTGGCCGTCGCTTATCTTTGCCTCACTTGACATCTCTGCTCTCTCGTTATCCGTCGATGATCCCTGCCTTGTTTCTGATCTTTGCCTCACTTAAAGTCACTCAGCTCTCCCTTCCACATCTGCTTGCCCAATCGCCCTCACATCTATTACATCTGCTCTCCCTCACGCCTCTCATGATTTGTTTGCTTTCCACTCGTAGCTATTATCTTGTCGCGGGTGCTAGATGGTTGATACTTTGATCTTTGATTGTCTTAGATGCGTGCTCTAATTCTCACCAAGTTTAAATAAAGTAATTTTTTTTGGCCAACTATAGTACTTACCTTAATTTATTTTATATTTATTTTTAAAACATTCTAATTAAATTATAATATTAATTTTTATTTTTTATAATTGTGCTTATGGGCTGAGCCTTGAACTTTTTACATAAGGGCCAAGCCTCATGATTTGAAAGAATTTTGAAAAATCAAGTTTAGGACTTGAGCTCTTAAAGGTCAGACCCATAAAAATTGGGCTTGCTCATTTTTCAACTCTTTTAATTCCTTACACTGGAATAAAGATCCAGCCCAAGCTAGTTTGTTTTTGGGCTCACATCAATTGGGTCCATATTCACCATTTTTCTTAGTTTAAAAAACAAATTAAAATATTTAAGTGGGGAATTGAATAAATTAAAATATTTAAGTATTGTTCTTTTATTGTTCCGTAGCAACATGTCAAGATAAACATTAATATTAATATTGTTATGAAAATAAGAAAAATACTCTTATAAAAAGATGAGAAAAATGTAAGAGGTTGAGATGAGGGAGATGAAGAAGACCAAAGAGAGAAATGGAAAGAAATTGAGAAGGAGCTTTTATTTACTTTAGAAGAATTTTTTGATCCCATTTATAACTCGTATTATTAAATTTTTACCATAATTTTTTTCTTTTATCTTTTATTAAATTTGAAAAGATAAAATAGATTGTTAAATATATATATATATATATATATGTGTGTATAATAGAGATAAAATTAATAAGTTCTTAAATTTTTAAATAGAGTTAATAAATTTTAAAGTTTTATTTAATTTCAGTAAAACATGTTAGAGATAATTTATAAATCAGATAATGAGGGTTTACATTGCAGCAACGAGCTCATATTATTTTGATTATTTTCTCAGCCACATTATTCCATGGTTACAAGTGCACTAACCTTGTCAAGGAAGAAGAGTGCAGTGAAAAAGAGCACTTAGAATGGAAGACGATGCTGCTTCGTGCCTGGGTCGAAAATATAAGAGGAAGAGACAGGAGGGTAAATGGTGGAAGAAAAGATTTTACTCCTAAAATTTAGCCGTTTGTGGAGAAAGCAATTTGATTCCACACCCCATTTTCTCTTCCTCTCTTATTTCCTCTCATTTTTTATTCTTCATCTAAATAGGAAAAAAATCATTTTCCCTTCTATTTTCTTCTCATGTTTTCTTTCTATACAAACAAAGCATAGCACAAGATTAAAAAAATATATATATATATTTTTATGAGAATAAATATTTTATTAATACGTAAAGCTTTTTAAAAACTGTTTATATTTTATATAGGGGAGAGTATAACATTTGGATGTATATATATATATATATATATATATTATATTAATAAAAATACTCCCAAAAAATCATTTATGTTATAGATTATCTAGCTTTAATATCAAAGAACAATTCTTCGGGAGGGTATGGATATCCATACTTGCATTACAATATCTATAAAAAGATATAATATAATACCATAAAATATTAATATTAATATCAATAAGAAATATAAAAATAAATTGCCGGACCTCTCATTTACTTTTCCCCCCGCCAGGCTGTGGGAGACAAGCGTTATGTGTGTGTATTAATATAATTTTTAGTTCTTTTTTTCAATTATTAATTTAATTTTTAAATTTTGAATTTAAACAATTTAATTCTTAAAATGATTGAGTTGTATAAATTTTTTTAACTCTATACAATTCAATCATTATAATTCTTTAACTAAAAATTATAATAATTAAATTGTAAGTCAAATTTTAAGAATTAAATTGATAATTGAAAGAAAGTTTAGGAACTAAAAATTATATTATCCCTTATTTTTAATAAGCAGTATAGTATTTATTATTAATTATAAATAATCTTTAATGTATAGAAAAATGTGTTAATAATATATTAAACTCGACATGAGTGCATGTACTTTTATTATTATCCATACATTTGTACATGTTATTAACGAATAAACGATGATGATGATGATACCATTAACCAATATTCCAATAATATGGTTGGTTATATAGATTAATAATCTTTTGGCCCAAAAAAAAATCTTATAAACTAGCAAAGTTTATATTATAATTATACATTGCTTCACCCTGTCAAAAAATATAAAATATTTTTTAATATAAAATGTTCATAAATACAAGATATTTTGAATCTTTCAAAGTACAATTAATCATACTTTTTTAAAAATACCTTTTATTAGGGATGTAATTAAAAGTATTTTTAATTAAGATATCCTATTAAATAAGAATAAATATAAAATTAAAATATATAATTTTAAAAAAATTAACTAATTTCTCAAAATGTAATTTAATTTGGGTCCCAGTAGGAAATAAAACGAATGGGGAATTCAAGGTTAAATCTAAAGGGAAGGAAAATATCCCCCGTGCAGATCGGCCACGGTGGAGAAATGGGGGAGTCAATATGGGCCTAACTCTATCAAATCCATTTGGGGTGTTTGATAAGGAAGGGGAAGCAGGCCTTATGCAGCCATCTTTATTAAAAGTTTCTAATGGACTTGTGAAGTCTGGACATTTGGTGGGAGTGACTGTGTTGAAGAATGATTGTGGTCTTGATATTACAATTAGAGTTGAAGAGGATCTAATGGAGGCTGTCCAGAGAGGTCTTCAACACGTGGCAAAGTCGGACGAGATAGTGTCTTCAATTAATGCAATTCCCATGCAAGAGCAGGCACACAAAAGTATCTTTGCGGACGTTCTTATGGATAAGGCGAGCTTTAAAGCTTGTCCCTCTCAGGTAACCTTTCTTTGTGAACTTTTTATTCTGGAATTGCAGGGGGAACAGGTTTGAAATTTTGAAAAAAATATTCTGTGGATTTTCTTGCTGTCTTGGAGACTCGAGCTAGCGGTAACAAAGCCCGACGACTGGCTCAGTTGTTGGGGTTTAAAAATTTTAAAGTTGTTGAAGCTCAAGGTTTTAACAGTGGTTTGTGGGTTCTGTGGGATGATTATAAATGGTGTTTCGAGATTTTGAAACTTCATGATCAGTTTCTCCATTTATGCTTGGATGATGGTACTTGCAAGAAGTTCTTTGCGGCTGCTTACGTTAGTCCAAATGCCATCAAGCTTCGAACTTTGTGGGCTGAATTGAGAAATATTAATGAGGAGATTGATGCTGCATGGTGCATAGGAGGTGATTTCAACAGTACTTTGTTTACCTATGATCGAAAGTCTATGTATCGCATAGGAGCTAGCATTGATCGCGACTTTGTTTGGTGGGTAGACGAGGTGGAAATTTCTGATTTGGGTTGTTTGGGTCCTTACTTCACTCGGCGTCGTGAAGGAAGTGAAAGTAGAATTGATTGTGTCTTTGGTAATAATGCTTTTATTGAACAGTTCCCTAATGCCTCTGTTTTACACCTTCCTTTTTTTAAGTCGTGATCATAGGCCTCTTTGGCTAAGATTGAAGGAGCAGGTGCCTTCATACAGGCACCAGGAACGAGTGTTTTGATTCGTTGCCAATCAATCCTGCATGGATACTTCATAATGATGTTACTCGCATGTTGAAGGGTATCTAGTTTGGTACTGATGATTGGGGTCATAATGTGGAAAACTTTACTAATATTGCTGCTGAAAAATAGAGCTATGATGTTTTTGAGCATCTTGGAAAGAGAAAATGGCACTTGCCAAACAGACTTGGTGTTTTGAATGGAGTAGTAGTGAATTGTTTTAATCCTTCGAAGATGGAAAAATTACAACCACATATTGGGAAAGAGCTAGAGGAGATCTTGTTACAAGAGGATCTTCTCTGGGGTCAAAAAGCAGAGTGTGATTGGTTGTTCAAGGAGACAGAAATTCCAAATATTTCCATGCTCGAGCTAATGCGAGAAGAGAGAAAAAAAGAGGCTTTGAAGAACCACTCCAATGATTGGGTTTATGATACAGGGGAAACAATGCGTATCGCTTTAAGCTTTTTTTTCAGAATTTTTTTAGAGAAGAGGGAGGACGGGTGCGCTTGGAACGTGGCGAGAAGTCCTTCGCTCTGATTGATGAGAGTGAATTACGGCGTATTGGAGACTGTGACAGAAGAAGAAATCAAACAAGCTATCTTCAATACGGGAGCTCTAAAATCTCCAGGGCTGATGGGGAAGAGAGACTCCTTTTCTTCTCTCTCTCCTTTTCTCTCCACTTTTGTATCTTCACCCTTCATTAATTTTATCTTTAAAAAAAAACCATTTAATAAAATAATATAGGGGTGGAGATGGGAGAAGAGGAGAGAAAAAAAGAGAAAGAAAAGGAGAGTCCCTCTCTCGGGCTGATGGGTTTAATGTTCTTTTTTTTATTTGTTTATTTAAATTCGATGACTGTACTTAATACATGCATTCATTTAATATATTAAAATTCATGTCAATAGTTACAAATTTATATTTTACTTAAGATTAATGAATGAGTGAATTTATTTGAACCGTTGATTTGAATTTCAACAATACAGATGTAATACAGTTATCAAATCCAAATTCTTTTTCTAATAGAGTTAATGGCACCTTGTGGGACCTAAAGTGGTGAGATTTGTAAAAATGGCTTTTGTGGATCCATTAGTATTAATGAAGTCAATAGCACAATGATAGTCCTTATTCCTAAGAAGGACCATCCTGAGATTATTAGAGACTTTCACTCGATAAGTCTATGTAATGTGTTCTATAAAACTATCATAAAGGTTCTGGCAAATTGGATCAAAATTGCTCTACCTAATGTGATTGCTCCAAATCAATATGGATTTGTAATTGGATGACTCAATTATGACAATATTATTATTGCTCAAGGAGTTATACATTTTATGAGGAGAGTAAGAAAGGATTTATGGCTATCAAGAATGATTTTGAAAAAACTTACGATAGATCGAGATAGGATTTTGTAGTCGACTAGAATATAAAAATTCATACCTTTAAGAGGAATTAAACAAGGTGATCCCATCTCCCCTTACTTGCTTGTGATATGTATTGAGACTCTGGCTCATCTTATTTAAGAAGAGACTAATAATGGTAATTGGTGACCAGTTAAGTTAACTAAAAATGGCCTAACATTATCTCATCTTTTCTTTAATGATTTGGTAAGTTTTATGGAAGTGGCTATTGATCAAGTGCAAATCATTAAGAAATCCCTAGAGACATTTTGATTGGCTTAGGGTAGAAAGTAAGCTTGAACAAAGTAAGAGTTTTTTTTTTTCCTCTCGTAGAGTGTTAATCATACTCGGGTTAAGTAGTTGACTGATTTTCTTGGGGTTAGAAGAATAGGTGATCTAAAGAGATACCTCAAAGTGCCTCTTCTTCATGAGAGGGTAAATAGGCACACTTATTATTTATGGTTGACAAAGTTAATGCTCTTTCACTTCCAAGCAAACACATTCTTTCTAAATCTATACTTTTTGCTATACCCTTATATGCTATGCAAACTTCCCCTATCCCGATTAATGTTCGTGATGAGTTGGAGAAACACGTGAGAAATTTCTCGTAAGGATCTAATAATACTCGAAGGAGAGTGCACCTTGTTAACTGGGATGAAGTGTGTAAGTTGAAAACAAGAGGGAGACTTGGTACAAAACATCTGGCATAGCAAAATAATGCTTTCATGATGAAGGCAGGATGAGGATTAATTGAAAGGAGGTACTCTTTATAGGCTCAAGTGATTTGTGCAAAATACAAGTGTGAAAATGAGCTTATCCTTAGGGTTAATACATCTTGTGTAGAGAAAGGTTTTGAGAAAATCACTGCCTAAGTTAGAGCTAAAACTGTTTGTTAGAAGGCTAAAAAACATAGATCTTTTTCTCTCAATAAGCTCATGACATGTTAAGAGGCAAGCTTATTGAAAATGATCCTACATGGAATTGACTTTGGAAATTAAATATCCCTCAAAGATGCAAGACTTTGCATGAAAGATTGCTAATTAATTGGTCACGTTGTAGGTAGAAGTTGTGTAATGACTCAAGATATGATAAATGTGTTACAATAATGGAGTATATCTTGCATGTTCTTCAAGATTTCTTGATGCTCAAGAGGTTTGGCTTAGACTTATTGAGCCATTTAAGAGGAATCAATTTTTTTCTTCTCCATTGAGGACATAGCGTGGGTGGAATTTGAAGATTAATGCAAGGAGATAGGGGGAGTATTGGAAAGAGTTATTCGTGATTATTTATTAGCTATTATGAAAGAGAAGAAATGAATGTGTATTTGAGAAGAGAGTATCTACCACTGATGTTGTCATCAGGTACTTCGAAGGCATTCTTCACTGCATGCATGATGCAAAAAGTATGATGAGGCAAGGGTCGATGCAAGGTTGAGAACATCAATTTGAATATTTCTTTATGTCAAGTAGAGGATTTTGACATGTATATGAACATTAAGGGTGCTTTTTTGAGAGCATATCAAGGTATGGGATGTAGGGGTGATTAAAGATGGTGAGGGTTGTCGCTTATGAGGCTTTATGTTTCACTTAGAACCTGGAGATAGCCTTATTACTGCTAAACTTTGGGCTTGTTATATGGGATTAAAGCTTGTGAGGGATAGGGGACTCAGAAAAGTATTGATGAGGAGTGAATGCATGGAAGCCATGTCACTTATTCTAAGAAAAGAATTGCATGTGGAGGATATGATTATTGACAATATTCAATTGCTACTGAAGAGGGATTAGAGAGTGAAATTGCAACATGTGACTCGAGATCAAAACAAGGAGGCTAGTCAATTAGCTAAGTATGCATTGCAGCTCCCCTCGGGTCTTCATACTATAGAGGCATATTCCTTGAGAACAATTGTTAATGGACATGTGACATAATTTTTGTTGCTTTTCTTTGTTTTGCTTTACTTTCCTTTTGTATTAAAAAGATTCTTGTTTAATAAAAATGTATCATGTAGGATGTTTGTCCCTCATGTTTCTTCTAGTAGAATAATACTCTATTTGGATTATATATAAGTCATTTTTTAGAAGCATCCTTTTGTCCAAAATATTGGTATTGGATAAATTTTATATTTTTTTAATTTATACCCTTGTTTTTTTTTATTCATTGTCTATAAATTCTCTATATTTAAAGATCATGCTTGTGTTCCTAGGAACTTTTAAAAGGGCAAAAATGGAGAGGATTGTACATTTTTAAGAAATCAAGATTTTAACTAATATTTTTTATAACGATAAGAATTATGTACCTAATTTTATATACTTAATATATTTATATTTATTCAAATCATAACAAATGGATATTAGTATGTTAATTAAATTAATAACAAGTATTTGTTATAGAATAAATAATTGCCAAAAAAGACTTTATCACAAATTTAATTGCTTATAAGGCCTAGAAATTTTTTTTGGAATAAGGTCCTTTAGTAGCATAAATTCAAGGCTTCAAATGATCAAAATGCCATAACCAAATGCTCTGCTCTCTTCTCTCTATTGCCTATCACAATTTTCGATAGCAACTTTGACACTATTATCGAATAACACCAAAATTAATAAAAACTAAATTTTATAGTAAAGCGCAACCTAAGTCGTCTCTTCAAGAGTCAATAGAATAACTATTTGAATTATAATTATGAAAAGGTAAATAATGGGTGGGTTTTTTATGATGAAATTAAGACTAAATTAGAATTAAATAAATAGAGAAAATTCAGCTAAGAAAATTATCAAGCACAAGCAGCGTAATTAATCACAACCCAATCACCTAAACTTAATCTTCCTCGTCCACAAATTAAATTAATTTTATTTAACTTTATTATTCTGGTTTTATTATTTATTTCTCAAATTATCATTCAAAAATTAAACAAGAAATTAAGTTATAGATTAATTAAAATCTCCTTTAACCCACAACGTAACAACTGTTCCATGTTAACCACACCAGAAACAAAACATGTATAATCACCTACGTTAGGCAAAATTACTCTTATGTTACCATATCAATCGATTATAGCAAGTAAAACCTTATATAAAATTTATAACTCAAAAATTATACAATAAAGCTACTCTAATCAGCAATAGCAGCTAAAGCATAAAATTCAGAGGTAGTGAGAAGAAGAGCAAATTGAAATAAAGCTAAAATAAAATTTTCTCTGAATATTAAAGACTTTGATTAAAATTTAGGATCATAGTTTGTGATTAATCACATCAAAAAAAAATTAACTATCCATAAAATTAAAAATTAAGAAATATGAGATGAAAATAAAAGAGGCTATCTGTATTGAAGAAAAAGAAGAATAGCAACTGCATATGTGGTTCCTTCCTCCTCATGCCGCCAACATTTTTTCTCTTTCTTTTTTGTCCAAGTCCTCCGTCTGCTCCTCCCTTTTATATATATATATATATATATATATGATTGCGTCACTCTAAACAAATAAAATCTAATAATTTACTAAAATGATAAAATTATCTTGAATAACCCTAATTAAAAACTACACTAAAATACCCAAAATAAATTCAAACAAAATTTTAAAGATTTAATTATTGATTTGATCTCCAAGCATGCCCAAATTCTTCTTATTCAAAATATTCTCTATCAATATCTTTTAAATTGAATTTAAAAAAATCTGCACAAATAAAATAAAATTAAATAGCACCTGTGTAAAAATATTATTTATATTTTAAAATCAAAGATTTAGTTAGTTAAAATTTTAAAACTGAATATTGGCTAATAAAATCAAATAATATCTAATTAAACTCAATTAGCTTCAAATAAATATTTAAAAATCTAAATTAAAAGGATAAAAATATATAAAATTATTATTTATCAAACTTCTACCTCTTCGTTGATGAACAATGGTGAGGCATGATGCTCATCTATTAGTCATAGTTTTGAGCCTCCAAGGACCTTTCTTTACACTTTGTCTTTAACTTGACCCATTTTGATTTTCTCGTTGAGTTTGTTCAAGTTGCCTTAGTTTACCTTTCATTGATTAGGGCTTGTCTTCAACCTCTTTAGACTCCATCTTCAAGAATCAATTATTTGCTTCAATTAGTTGGAGTAGTTTATTGAATTGGATCTTAAGATTACTTGAATAGAGAAGCATGGGACCCTAGGTGGTACTTGCCTCTATGTCAGATGCATCCTTTCAAGGTAATCTATTATTGAATTTTTCTTAAAGAACTTATTCATTTTTCTCTTATTCTCTTTTTCTCCATCTCAAGTTGATGACCAAACAAGAAAACTAGGCATTAATTTCTAATGCAACACTTGATACATTGATTAAGAGAATCGGGAATTGCCACTTGTTTGTAAAATTCTTGATTTATCAGTAAGTCCTAAATTGTTTTTGCTTCATAAGGTAGATAGAAGCTTTAACGATTTACATTGACATGGAAAGCTTGCTTGTAGGCTCAATTAAATTAAGTAGTGTATATAAACTTGTAAATTTGAAGGAATCAATTGAATCTTGAGAACACAATATTGCTTAGGCTTCTTTACTAGGATATTGAATAAACTAGATTAGGATTTTAAGAAGGAGCAGATGTTTCTTGTGGTGTGAGTCATTACTCTATAATTTTTCTTATACTGAAAAGAGCAAGCATAACTCGAAAGAGATTACATCAAAGAATTAATACATAATAGGACTCTTTCATTAATTGCCTCCTCTTGTATAAGAGGTGGAGGGTGATCAAATTTAAAAAAATTGACATCTAAACTATGGGAAGTTTCACTAAATAGTTAGCATAAGTATTGGAATCTCTATCGATATGGTGGATAAATACACTCCAATTCCTATGATATAACACATGGGCATCATTAACAATATCCTTAAAAGGGTAGGAATCCTTACACCCTTTTGTCAGAAATAAAATAGCCTCAGTATAGTCACAAAAAATGTCCATAAAGCATATGCCTTCTACCCAGCAAAGATTCAGTCCATTCATGATTGCAAGGAGCTTCGTAATTGTAGTTGGTACATTGACAAGTTTCATAAAAACCCCCTTAATCCAATAATCATGAGCATCACAAATATATCCTCCGTAGTTGTTATTACCATTCATGATAACAGAACCATGTACTTTCAATTTATAGTCATTATTTCTATCCAAGAACGTCACCCTTGAGCATTTGGTCTCAAAAGACCATCCTCATCAAGGATATGCTAGGACATGTTCATATGCACATCCTCATTAAAGACAAGCTTACATTAGTCCATCTAGATATCCCAGGAAATATAATTAATCAGTGTTACCCATTGTACCTTTCTCGTGAATCCCTTGCTTGCTTCATTCTTTAAGTTCCATTTAATCCAATCTATCCTAACTCAAGATGCAAAGGTGTTCCAATAATCCTCTCGAACAACATTCTTACATCTCTTTAGTGCATTTCGGCAGTCTCGAACTAGATGAATTGAGTCTTCCATAATCTTGTAATTACTCCATAATTTGAAAGTTAGGTTTTATGTACTAGAAGAATTTTGCAATTTGCACCTATTTCCTATTCTTGTTAATGCTGTGAACCACACAATAAAAGAAATTAGATCCATTGCTGCATGACTTCGTGTACCAGAATCATATCATGTCAACTGCAAGTTTGTTCATGGATTTACAACTTGAGTTTAAATTTTTGAATATGAATCTTTATATTTAGGCAAGAAATGGTATGTATTTAATTATTAATCCCTTTGTTAATTTGAAGGAGGGCTTTTAAATCTGAAGTTAATAAGTAAGGGACAACTAAAGTAAACAAGAATGATCCTGGAGTAAGAAAATTTCTTCTTCTCTATTATCAATGAATGCACAAACATTATGTTCAATTAATATCACGGTTAATTTTGGTCCTCCATGTATTTGCTATATTGTAAAGGTATTCTCAATTGAGAGGAAGATATTGCTAAGAAGTGTCCTGTATGTTGTGGAAATTGCAATTGTAAAGCATGTATGTGCTATGATAAATTAAAGTTAGTCCTCTACTTCTATTTTTGAATACAAAAGAATGAACTATTTTTAATAGATTGACTAATGATTATGCTTATTTCTAGGTGGGAAGACAAAATGGAGAATGAATATGGTTGAATGGAGGGTGCAAATGTAGATGTTGAGGCTTTGTTGATTGGCTATCATTTGATAATGTATTGATGTCCTCAAAAACTTACTTTTATATGCCTTAATTATGGGTGAGACTTTTTTCTTTAATCAATATTTATGTTTCCTTATTTCTTTGAATAGGATATTATGGTTGATGTCGCGATGTTCGATGGATCACTTGGAATGATCTTTGCATTTTTTGCATTACAAGATACTATAATTGATGTTGGTTCCTTATTCCTTTGAATATGATACTCTATAAAGCAAGGACTTCCTTTTGAGCATTACATTTTTCATATTAAGTATGCTTATAAATAACATACTCCATCAAAATAGCTTAAATCATTTTGTTAAATACTTTTTAAGTTTAAATATTTGTAATCTATCTTCTAATCTTTAGATGTGAGACTTCTTTTATGTTTTAATATTCCTTTTATTATTTTCTTCTTCTTCTTTTATTATTATTCTTTTTCTTGCTTGAGCTTGTACTTTTTTAATTTCAAACGCCTTAAGTCTATTCAATTTCTTCTTCTTTTTTCTTTTCATTCTCTCTTTCCATTTTTTTAATCTCATGTTTTTTTCTTCTTTCATTCTTTCATTTTTTTTCGTTCTCTCTCTTTTCTTTTTTTCTAGTATCTAATCGAATGGCACTTGATATCATATTAGATTTTTTATATTACATATGTTTAAGGATAGTATATACTCCATAAAAATAGCTTAAGGCATTTGATTAAATATTTCTTAATTTTATATACTTGTGATTTATCTTCTAATTTTTAGATGTGAAACTTTTTTTATGTACTAATATCGAGAAGAGTTGCAACTTTGGTGGAAAAGAGAAGAAGAGGATATTTTGAAGAACTAGAAGAAGATTCTAAAAAATTATATTCTCAAAACTCATATAAATGAGATTTTGTAAAGATTGTATAGATGATATTTTTTTTTCAAGTTTTATCTCCTGTGGATGAATCATTTTTCCATATAAAATTGCAATACCTCATGTAAAATAAATTTATTTTAAACTCAATGTAAAGTTTATAAAACATGAACCATGTATGATGTCAATTTGTTCAATATGTAAATTTTGTTCCATATTTTATAAGTTTCATTGTCAAGCTCATATAGGGACTATTTTTCATTCCTAACATTTGATTTTCATAATATGAAAATAGATTTTTATGAAAAATGAGCAAAATTTTCAAAATATTACAAAAGGATATCCTAAAAATTGAGGTGACTAAGTGTTTCATGAAAATTGATACAATTTTTAAAATATACAAAAAAATATATTCAAATATAAGATGTATTTCATATAAAATTTTGGCACGAAGATTTTCTTTTTTAAGAATATGCAAGAAGCATATTGGAATTTAAAGTGCATTCCATAAAAAAATTTGACACCAAGATTATTATTTTTAGAATATGCAAAAAGTATATTCAAATATAAGGTATATTTTATAAAAAAATTGACACGAAGACTTTTTTTGGGAATATGCAAAAAACATATTCAAATATATGAAAAAAAATTACATGTTTCGTTAAAAATAAATGGCATATCATAAAAGAAACTTTGCATATGCTTGATGATGGACTTAGAAAAATTAGTTTGTAGAGGCAAAATTTGTATGAAAAATAAATATTAATATTATTAATAAATTCTTTATGATTTTTATTAAATTATATTAAATATAAAACTTATTAAAATTAAATACTATTAAAGAACTATACATAAAATATAAAATTATAATAAAAAATGACAATAAAATCTTATCAAAATATATAAATGACAATCACATTTTTTTAAAATGTCATAATTTTTTTTAAAGTCCCTAACTAATTTTCTGACATTAATGATTTTAAGTTAAAAGACTAAATGACCCCTTCTTTAAAATAAAAATAATAGGTGTGGCTCCTTTTTTTCAATCATATTTTCTGTTTAAATAATCATAACTTCTGCTTTATAAATCGTAAAAATTGAAAAAAAAAATCATAACTTTTTATGTAAAATTTCTCTTATGATTAATAAACGAATTATGAAAATAATCAATTTTAATCATAATTTTTGTTCTAGCAATTTTTAACATTTATTTTTTAAATTATAAGAATTAAATAAAAAATTACAGCTTCTGATGTAAAATTTTTTTTATCATTAAAATTCAAGTTTTAAAAATAACCAATCAAAATTTTTTATTCAAATAATCATAATTTTCATTCTGTAAATCGTAAGAATTGAATAAAAAATCATAATTTTTTACATGAACCCTTTTTTAATTTTATTTTAAACGGTCCAATTTTGTAATGACAAAAAGATACCTAAGAACTTTAGAAAAATTATGAATTTTGAAAAATTTGATTGTCATTTATATATTTTGATAAAATTTTATTGCCATTTTCCCTTATAATAACATAATATAATACACACACCCCACCATTAGAATTATGCTTTTTATTTTAACTAATAAAACTTAACTCTTTTTAGTTTTGATTAATAAAAATAGATTCAACTGATAAAGATTTAGCTCATAATTTCTTAAGACTTAAATTCCTTAAATTTTCTTGTGCCCAAAAAAAATTAACTCTTTTATACTACATTTCTTGTAATAAAATTTTCACTTTAAATAATAAAAAAATTATTTTTTAAACTATCTCTCCTTTCTTTTTAAAACTCTTGAAAGTTAAAACATACAAATAAGATTTTGGTCAAATAAGTGAAATTAACAAGAGTATAGTTTTGGGATCTGCTTCGTTTTTCATTAAAAAAGAAAAAAATATCACGTGGTATTTTGTTTTTTCTGCCGAAATCAATCAGTCCGAGCGAGGTGATTCCAAATTCCAAATTTGTCGTTTTTGGGGAAGATTTTTATGGAGGCAGGTCAGAGTGGTTCGATGAATGAAGTCATTATTATCGGAGTTGAGGCGTTGCAAGCGCTCTATTCGTCCTTCTTTCCAGATGGGCTGTACTACGTGATTGATTCGACGAAGCTCTCATTCCTACGTAGTGCATACTTTCACTGTAAATACCATATTACGTGGCTGATATCTCGAACGCACACTAACATTTCAATTTCATCGATGATTATTTGATTTGATTTCCTCTCGATCTTTCTCTCTTGTTCGCTCCCTGTTAGTGCGTCACTTGCCTGCAACTAGGCTTTTCTTCTTCCTCTTTTTCAATTTCAAGCCGTGACAATGAGACTTTCGCACGCATTGACGCAAGGAACTTCCAGAACAACATCATCGGCGCCGCTCGGTCGCCATAATTTCATTTTGAGCCCCTGTGCCAAAAGGGTTTCTGAGTTCGGGAATCATAGATCGAGTTTTCTAAATTGCGGGTGTAGCACCTCAGGGTCTGCTGTCTCTTCTGCGGCAAATTCTTCATCGCCTGTTATCGCGTCGAATTCTCGCATATCTCAGAAGAAACCTGGGAAGTTGGAAGCTATTGAGGAAGAGATAGAGAAGGTAAGAGTTTGGTACGGTACAAGCTTTTGGAATTATTTGTGATGCACAATCAAGCTTAATTTCTGCTTCCTTTTTTTGTTTTGGCCAATGGATTTTGTAGGTCATTTATAGATGCCGGTTTCTGGCTATTCTGGGAGTTTTTGGCTCATTAATCGGATCGTTTCTATGTTTTATCAAGGTACAATTGTTAGACTACTATCGTTGGTTTTTTAAACACAGATCACGCAGAGAGAACCCATCTGCCGCTTTAACGAGTTCGTACAGAATCGCGGCTGAGGATAAATAGTTCCGTCTCCACTCTTGCTATTTAATTAATAATTAATTTGTCATAGTTGGGATAGTCATATGACATCTTTAGATTATTTGTTGTGATTGATTTATAGCCATGTGCTCTTTGGTTTTAGGTCTTAATTGGACACGCCGACATTCATTTATAAAAAGCATGCTTTTACTTCTTCCTTTCCTTTTTTGCCATAAAAAGGACATGCTTTCACTTAAGCATGCGGCTTTGTTGATCAAGAAGGACATTGAAGCCTTACTCCTTAATTCTGAAGCTTAGATGATTGGGTTAAATATGGTTATATGTATATATACACATTAATAGTTACTCCAATATGCCCGTCAGTTTCTGTACTTCCCCTGTACCTTTCAGTCTCAAGCTCTAAGGAGATGAACATACCTTTGAACAGGGAGGTAGGTAGAGCCGGGGGAAGAGGAAGCTTTTAAATTTTATCAGAAAGGAAATTTGTAATTGCATAAATTTGATTGAGTTGATTGAATGGATTTTCAACATCATTGATCACTCATTTTACTTTGCCTGATTATCTCATTCTATTGCATAATAATTGTATGTTATTGACCATTTAACATGCAGGGCTGCACATTTGTTGCAGAGACTTTTATGATATATTTCATTGATCGAAGTAAAGTAATCCTGATGCTGGTAGAAGCTATCGGTGAGTATCTCTAAATACTAAAAATTGACCTACTCTAACTGATTGTTGACAGAGAAGGATATAACAAATTGACATAAACAATTTTTTGCAAATTATTAAATCAAGTCGCGTCTTTTCCGAAAGAGAAAATTAAAGAAAGAAATACTTAACATTGCCTATACTCCTTAACCGCATTTTTGAATTGATACTAGAGATCAATTTGATGCAGTTAGCAACTAATTTTCGTGTTGAGATAAGATAAGCTCTTACCAATGTATCAAAGGGTATTGTACTTTGGCTTTATTATTAAAAGTAGATCCATTTTAATTTTCAAGATGATATCAAGAACTGAATGATCACAAATTTAGATTTGCAGTGGTATAGTTTTAATTTGTTTTTTTAATATTCTTCAGTTTTCACTGGAATGTCAATTGCTTATGAAGCCTGAACGTGGCATAAACTAATTATGTTAATTTTAAGATTGTTGCCAGTGTTAAACACTTTTCTGACATTTGATATACGACCATTTCTGTCTCATAATTTTTCTCGTTTTTGCATTGTTGCATATGCAGATGTCTATCTTTTAGGAACCGTTATGCTGGTTTTTGGAATGGGTCTCTATGAGCTCTTTGTCAGTAATCTTGGTAGTGCAGGCTCTCTGCCAGATCAAAACGATTCTTACAGATCCAATCTCTTTGGTTTGTTCCCTCTGAAGGTTAGCTTTTGCACATACTCTTTCTGTTTTCCCCTTTGCTTGTTGGTCACCTGCTGATTATCCCAACTTATCTAACTTGTGTGTCACGGGACCACTAGGTGATGAAGTTTATCCATATTATTACAAAAGCACTTCTTAAATGAAACTCTTGCTCCTTCCTTTGGTATTGCATTGTACTGTGTCACTTGTGAATAGCATTTTCTTGTTTTTTGGGCCAAAACAGCAACTGGTTTATTTGCTCAAGTGACATGCATAGGGAGGAGGCTTTTGCGTGATGTGTATTTTCACTGTCTGATGCATCTGAAAGTTGGGGGAAAAAAGAAGTTGGATTGATCTAAATATGAGATAGATTACTTAAACCATGACTCTGGCAAGTTTACATTTTGAAAAATTGTGCTTTTATATAGAGAGATGTGCAGGATGTAAATTTCCTTTTTTCCCATCCTCTTCTTATATAAAATGTAGAATTGTTGTCAAGAGAATTCATGAAGGTTGTCACTGGTCAGTCAAAAAAACTTCCGTTCAGTTTATCTATGTTTGGCAGTGGTTGTGGTATTCTTAAAAGTTTCTGTTGGGTGAAAGTTACATCCTCCTTGATAGTTGCTTTGCTCAGACATTGTTGACATGAGATTTGAAGCTTAATTACCGTACAAAAACACTCATGGTGTTCCTAGACAAGTTCAAAAGTTACATTATAATTGTAATAAGATTCTTGTTTAAAAAAGAATTTTTATGGTTGACTGTAGCTACCAATGAAACATACAGTTCAACGTTCCCTTGCTGCAGAGGCTTTTTTTTTTTTTTTTTGAATGGAAACTGAAATCAATTGCTCAAGGAAAAAATAGGCGCAAAGATACAACAAAGTGAAGATCAAACTAGATCCAATCTTTCACATGCCACCTCCTGCAAGAAAGGTGGAGATTGATCAAAGATTTCAAAAGGAAAGGCCCCCCCATGTCCATATTTAGCTAACAAATCAGCATCCCAATTAGATTCCCTGTACGCAAAATTTATGAAAACAGTCCAATCTCTATGTATTGCTGCTGCAGAGATTTGTACTACTGACATGTGCTCCAAAATGTAATATAGTAGTTTGCAAAATTATGGCCTTGTTAATTTGTTAGTCCGAAACATTAATTTTAAGAGAAGTATTGTTGTGTATCCCTTTCAGGAACGACCAAAATGGCTGGACATAAAGACTGTGAATGAACTGAAAACGAAGCTGGGTCATGTGATAGTGATGCTACTTCTGATAGGGTTGTTTGACAGGAGTAAGAAGGCTGTTATACACACTCCTGTGGATCTGCTCTGCTTCTGTGCTTCCGTCATGCTTTCCTCTAGTTGCCTGTTTCTACTGTCTAAGCTGAACGATGATAAATGAGGTCTTTCCCGCATGCATCATGATATCAACCTTTGGATAAAGTATCCTAGGAAGATGAAGTAAGTCATCCACATTACTGTGTTGTATATATATTAAGATGTGCAATGTTTAATATATATATATATATATGTGTGTATGTATGTATACACACATGTATGTATATATATGTATACATACATGCATATGATGTTGTTTCATGCTTGTCTTGATTTCTTCTTGCTTCTGTTTTGTAGAGTTAAGTTAAATAAGTTATAAAAAATTAATTCAAAAAAAAGTTAAAAATTTAATAAAGCAACGGGTTTGAATGCATTGCAACACTCTGTTATGCGATACCCTTGGTAATGGAACGTAGCTCCCACTATCAAATTGATAGTTATGCAAAGCCGATTTTTGTTGTGGTTTCTTTTATTTAATTAGATACTCCCTCTAGCCCTTTTGCCCTTTTTATAAGGCCTTGTTAACTATTTTTCAAAGATTTAGGAGATTAGCTAAATGTCCAAAAATTTTACAACTTTATTTTCAAAATTACATCTTGGTATAGTTCTTTTTTGGGGGGGGGGGTGGGGAGAGGAAAAAGGCTACTCCCCTTATTCTATTTATAAGATAAAGAGAGGGAAAAAAATGATCATGTTTATAAAGCATTTGTCAATTTTTAATGTTTCTCTTTACATTTGCTCTTATTAATGCTTTGAATAAAAAATGTTAATAATAAAATTTAAGAATATGTGTCAAGGGTAAATGTAAAAATTTGTTAAATTTTAAGATAAAGTGAGTGAAGTTAAATGTTTTCTTTGGTTCTTATGATAAAACATGTTGGAAATGATTTATAAATAAAATTAAAGAAAGTATTAATTAAGGTTAAGGTAAAAGAAATGAGGATATTTTGAAAATGGGTTATAAATATTTTATTGAGTTTTGTAAAGAGTTTTCTACTAAAGTCTAATGGATATAGTCTTATGAATAGGGTTGAAGGAAGCAGGAAGAATCTCATTAAAAAAAAAAAAACACTCTTTCATGAAAGGACTAAATGATGATTCTAACATAGCATGTAAGGATTAAGAAATTGAAATGTAATTAATTTGTCTGGATCAATTACTACAATACTCTTCCTTTATTTTATTTAAAACACTACCCCTCCACAATTGTTGCCGGGGTTAGAGTTTTGGTGGTGGTCTAGCAGATGAGTTAAAGCCCCATCACCGAAGCTCCAGCAACAAGTTTCACTTTGGTTCTGAGGCCTTGATAGAGTATTTTCAAAATATTTTGGTCCTTCAATGCAACAAAGTCCTTTTTGTGGTTCTTGAATGATACTCTCTCTCTCTCTCTCTCTATATATATATATATATGTATATAAATATTATGAGTAATATGTTACTTCCTTAATCCTTAAGTTCTAATTGTAGGGTCCTTTTACCTAACAAATATTAAAAAAGAAAAGACTTAAATTGGTTATTTGTAATTAGTGCGTAATTTTTTTTTCATAGAATTACCATAGTATTTAATTGACAGCATTTGTGAATTTCCATTGAGTAGGAAAAATGGAGTGTTAACTAGGGGTATTTTAGGGGGAAAATTTTTCATGTGGTAAACAGATGTGGAGGGGATCTTGCGTTAAAGTCCTTAAAAGGATTTATATATTGAGAACAAAAGAGGTATATTAACTAAATGTTAAAGAGTTTCTCTCATTAGAGTTACAGAAAGGACAAATAACTCAGTAATCAAGAAAAAGGACTAACAACTTTGTAGGCTAGTGATATGAAAATGTCATGAGTTTTTCTCAAGTTTGCCATGAATTAGTGTCTATATATCCTTTAAATAATAAAAAACAGAGAAAAAGAGTTGAGAGAAGGCATTTAAGAGTTTTGACACTCAAAATTTTTGTTTTTACCATCAATCCCTTGTGGGATGGAGTTCAAATTTGGTGCTCATCACAGTGATGAGCACTGCACGTGGCCAGATTTTAACCTTTGATTTTATCTTGAAATGATCTCTACTATTCATTTTAAATTAATTTTTAAATATTTTAAATATTATATTTATTAATATAAAAATTATAAAAAATTTTGATGTTAAATCTAGGTTGTTTAGAATACATATATATGTTATGTAAAAATAATGAAAAACTTTGATATTAAACTAAGACATTTAGATTATCATTGAACTATTTAAAATATATCTGAATGGTCAAATTATAAAAGTTATAAAAAAATTAATATTAAATTAAACTTTTTAGATTAAATTTGTATCGGCCAAATTGATAATAAATAAATTGATTATTTTTTTATATTTTAAAAAAATTATTTTGATAAATGTAATTAAAAATAAAATTTTTAAATTTAGATGATTCAGATCTCATCAAATGTTCTGAGTATCATGATTCTCATTCTTAAATAAATACAGAAGACAATCCAAATTTAATATCAATATTTTTTATAAACTTTTATTAATAAATATAATATTTAAAAATTAATTTAAAATGAACGTTGAGATCATTTTAAAATAAAATGAAAGGCTATGATTTGGCCACGTAGTAATGAGCGTTCGGTGCTCATCACCGAATGCAAACGCTGTGGGATTTCTCAGCCTTGTGTACCAGACTGAACTCTCTTTAATTTAGTTCTTCAATGGTAATGGTGACTGATTAATCTTTGCTGATGATATAAAGGACATGATGATGATGATGATGATGATATACAAGCAAGGTTGATATCCACCATAGCACATATATATATTTGGTGGTTATTAAAGGGGTGGAATTGCTTCGGTGGTTAACCATGTCATGTTAGCTTGAATGTGAATCATCTAAAGTTCCAGGTCCCAAAAAAAAAAAAAAAAAATCATCTAAACTAATAAAATTTTAGTTTTTCCCCGACTCCTTACAAAAATTTGATTATGGTTAGATTGATGAATAGAAGAAATTTGATTCTCTGTGACTAATTTAAACTTTTAGATATAAAAATTTCGTTAAAAATCAAGAATACCTTTAATCCAACCAACAATGTTTGAACCGCTGAACATGATCATGCAAAAGGACTTAGTTTCTTTTTTCCCACCCTTCATGACCCCTTATTAAATTTACACTGTTTAGATTTAATTTGAATACTTTAGATTAAACATTTTAATTATACATTCTTTAATATAATTTTTTATTAAATATGATTATCGAAATAATGTGGATATTCGAGATTTGATACAGGTGGTCCAAATTAAATATTCAGATTATTTGGCTGATCAAAATTAATAAAGAATTTAAATTTAATATTTTTCAATTTAATAAATATAAAATTAAAATTAAAAACATTTAATCTGGACAGTTGATGTTAATATAAAATTAAAATTTAAACATTTAATCTGGACAGTTGATGTTGATAAAAGTTCAGCAAAGTGTGAGATGAGAGAAGGTGCGTTCATTGCAGAATCATATATTAAAAAAAAAAATCAAAAAAAGTGTTTATCAAAAAATTAAAAAAAATTGTATTTACACCGCGAGAGAGAGGCTTTGGGCGCCAACTGCAATGTATGGAGGGCAGAAAGCAAGCCGCCATCTCAAACGCTGTTAGCGTGTCAACTCTTTATTGGGATCTTTTTTATGTTTTTAATTACATAAATCGTCGGATAAATAAAATATGAATACATGGTTTGTCTTATAGGCCTACTTATCATAGAATCAAACCTAAACTATCCATCTTTATATTAAAATAAAATGAAACAAGTGTGTCCTTAAAAATGTTTCCACTATATCATAATCACTATTGCATATAACAATCATTATAATGCCCCCAATGCAAAACGCCCATGGTTTTTTCAATTTTGTTTTCCTCCTTATAATCAATGGTATTTTTTTTTTTCAATCTTATTGGTAAGTCATGTCTTATTAACTCACCAAAATTAAGGAAAATTAGTTTAAAAAATAAATTTATCTTAAAATTAAGCTACTTTCCATTTTGCCCCTTAATTTAAATCATACTAGTAATTTGATATGTGAGATTAGTGAAGAGTTTTTTCTTAAATAATGCACATCTTTTTAGAATTTGCAGACAGACATTTATGGAATTGTGCATCAAAAATTGCCAAAAAAAAAAGAAAGAATGACTCTCGGGATGTTTGATTTCGGTTCTCATGTTTTATTTTAAAAAATTATTTTGTGTATAGTTTTTAAAATTATTTTTAAAACAAAATAAAATGAAAAATTCATTTGATTATGCCAATTTTAAAATAGTTTTAGAATTAAAAATAAACTGATAGAAATGATCATACACAATTAATAATGGTGATTTAATAATAAAAATTGATCATAATAATTATAATTTTCAATAATCAACTATAATATAATGAGTTTCCATTTTATTTTTTTTTATTTTTTAAAAAAATAAAATAATTAAAAAAATTAAATAAAAAGCACTAATTCAAACAAATTTTTAAATTTTTTGTTTTTAAAAATTAAAAAATAGTTTTTAAAAGCAAAAAACAAACCGGCCTTTAACATTTTTAATTTTTATTATAAAGAACCTCTAACTATCTCACTAAATAAAAAAATGATGGTTAAGTTATTAATTTTGTCTAAAAAAAGAATAAACTTTTAATTTTATCCCTGTTTAAATGATTTTTTTTTTCAAATTTTTAATATACTCTCTTTTATAGTTTATGATGAGTTTAAATAAGAGTAATATTAAAAAAAATGTAATTAATATCCCATCAAATGCTTTATACTCCCTTTATTTTTAAATACAAGAGGTGTCATAATAATTTTAAATAATTAAATAATTTTAAACTTATCAAGAAATATTAATCATGTACTTTACTCACTGTCATGATAATAATTATAATATTTATTAATGATAAAATTAAAAAATTATTATAATTTTATTAATTTTCAAGTAAATGATAAACTTTTCAAACAAAGGGCGGACAGAGTATTAAGAACCAAAAGCTTCCAACAAGACTGCTTGGAATAGTACATTGAAAACCAAGTTAATTTTTCCAGAATGCGACTAAACAAATGGGACCCGAGAGAGGGAGCTCGATGGTCTAGACATTGAATTCTTAAAACCTATTTACTATTGTCACGGATCAATGCCCTATCGCTAATCTATGTACTATTGTGTTGTCTCATCTCTTCATAATAATTATGAGACTTTTTCGTTCATGATGATTGACAAGACAAATCTTCCACTAAATAGCTTTAAAATTTAGCACC